ATTCAACTAAAGCTATCTCAACTAGGGCAGTGGTGCTCATTGAAATGCATTGTATCAATATAGGTCAATAGATATTATGCATTACAATAGAAATATAGGTTTGATGTATTCAAACCAACCGTCTTTTCAGGTTTGCCGAGCAACATATTGATGTTTATACATTATTCGATTGAGCAGAATCGCTGCTTTCTAAAAATGAAAAGTTCGCCGGATGATTCTGCTTCTACGAAGAGATATAGCTATTTTTCTCATACTATAGGGGTTGCCACATTGAGGATATGGTCTATTCCAAGTAATGATATCTGATTGTTTTTGCAAGACACTAATTCAGTGTTATCATCATATTTTATTCTTTCGGAAGATTTATTTGACAAAAATCATCTTATTACATTAATAACAATACATGGCTACAGTAATAATACTGACATGATATTCACTTGACATTAACAATGATAATATTCTCAGCAACATATATTTTAAAGAATCTAGAGATTTCATTGGATCGAATGGTGTATAGAAATTCATATATTGCTGGAGAGTACGGTAGGCTCGAAAATGGCTGCCGCTTAGCATTGAGAAAATAGCCATGTCTCCTCAAGTTATCATTATTGCTCGGCAAAATATATGATATTCTGAATGTAGATATTATGAGTAATCGAATGGTGCAAAAAAAATCACATGTTACCGGGCAAACTTGAGAGTACGGTTACCTTGAAGATGGTAACCTCTATACAGCTGTAGTAACGTATAGAGCTATTGATCTATAGTTATAGAATGTATGTGAATGAGCGACTTTGTGCTTGTTATTGATACAGCTTTATGAAAGAAGCCATATCTTCTCAAGAAAGCAAAATTACTCAACAAGATACATATTTTTCTGAATGTAGAGGTTCTGCTGGATCGATTGGTGTACAGAAATTCATATGTTACTGGGCAAAGCTGAGAGTACGGTAGGCTCGAAGATGGCAGTCGCTATAGCATTGAGAAAATAGCTATGTCTCCTCAAGTTATCATTACTGCTCGGCAAAATATATGATATTCTGAACGTAGAGATTATGAGTAGTCGAATGGTGCAAAAAAATGCATATGTCACCTGGCAAACTTGAGAGTACCGTTATCTTGAAGATGGTCACCTATGTAGAGCTATAGAAACGTATTGATATTGATCAATAGTGATAGAATTTACATGAATGAGCGATTTTGCGCTTGTTGCTGAGATACCATCTCCAAGCTAACGGTACTCTCAGGTTTGCCCGGCAACATTGCGATTTTTTCACACCATTCGATTCCACACGACCTCTAGATTCAGAAAAACGTATATTTTGTCGGGTCATTTTGCTTACATGAGGCGATGTGGCTAATTCCTTGAAGTCATCACAATTAGCGCAGTGGCGCACGTTTATATACATTATATCACTGTGAAACGATCTAAAGATTACCCTAGCACTATTACCGTCTTCAAGCGAGCGGCTTTCTGGATATACAGAATCCGGGGAATCCTGTTTTTGAAATGCCGAAATGCGGCATTCCGACGAAGATCAGGTAGTCTTTGGATTCTTCGGAAGAAATTCATCACTTTCATTGTGATGGAAAACGCCTGTTTACTCACTGTTGCATTCCACTGTTGCTGTCATGAACATGTGCGATATGCTGACGACTTTCACTCTCGGACTCACCATAAAATACGAATTTTCACTCGTCAGTCTCTAAGTACTCCTCTGGCAACTTAGAAAATTATGCAACTTTTATCTACTATTTCATTTCCTCGCTCAACTTCTAACTGGAATTGATCAAAACTGCAATCTCTTGATATGCTGCCATGAGAGTGTTTCGATCAAATTCCTAATTGTCAGACGAATTTAGATTATCTTAACCGAAACGATTCAATTGAAAATCTTCAAAATGTGCCAATTTTTATTCATTTGACTTTATATGCCGTGGATACCGAAACAAATTCGAAAATGTTCTCAACTAGCATTGACTGTCATAATGATGAGAGTGGTGTGTGTTGACTTTACTTTACGTGTTGCTCGACTTCAACAACTTTGTAAAAAGCTTTTATTGAACCATAACAACGTCAACAAACGAACATATTCCTAATTTACAGACCAAACAACATTCGGTGACAATTCATTCAATGTTGCAAATTACAATAACGGCACAAATTATTCCAATTTCAAAAATTCGGATAGAATGAAAAAGAAAAACCGCTAAAGACACAAAAACAAACCAAATAATCAATCGTGAATCATATCTAAAAATCAAACCAGAGCTTTCGCGACACCCACCGAAATAAAAACGAATCTGACAAAAACGGTCGCTCTCACAATAACCGTTAAGCATACATCAAATCTGAACACACCGTTCATATTCAAATTGTACACTCGCTGAACACAGCAACATTATTATCCAGATAATGTTTTCTTCAGTTTTATGCACACAATCATCATTTATCCATAACATATTCAAAAACAGAATAAATACGATATTCGAGAAAAAATAACATGCACAAAATATAGAACTTGAAATCAATATCCGAAATTCCACAATAACGAACAACATTCAATAAAATTCATACGGTAAGCAACACAAATTGATTGTCGACGAAACGAATTACTGTTTCGTTGTCGATCCAAAAACTAAATTATTGAACAACTGGGATGAATTCGATCAAGAAGTGAATTTCATCTTCAATATTTGCACAATATGCGTTAATGCAATTTTGAATTTATTTCCAATATTTGAGCAGTAACTTCGGCTGGGAATGTGTACGGAACTCGGGCTGCATACGCCACAATCGCATCCGCTTTTGCAACTATTTCCGATCTCCAACTTGAGTCGGCACTTAACTGATCCAGAATACGCATAACCGATACACATACATCTGGCAGCAGTGAACGTACCTAAAGTACTATTTACCATCACTGCCAATTTTTTGCCCTAGTCAGTCATCCACCGAGTCTACGAAACAGACAATTTACTGCGATCACGACAAGCCACTATGATCTAATCCAAACCCCTATCCGTTCATGCAGTACACAGATAAATTTATAAGCGTTGGTCTTGGTCACATCGGAATATTACTAATGATTACTATCAAATCAATACCACATCTATACCTACTAATAAAATCTGCGTTGATCCACTAAAAACAACAAATTTCAATTTCATTCACCTAACCTGACGATTTCCAATTAAAACTGTTCGGAATATGGATTAACCCATTTGCATGATCAACTTTAATCAATTGTATTTCTAATGAATCTTGTATTCTTTGCGCTTACCTCATCTGATAGAGTGTAGAACATTGAAACGAACGCTGATACTTCAGATAAATCGAACGGGACGAATTTCAATTTTGTAATAATATCCAAGCAAGTTGGATAGCTGCAATAATCACATCATTGCGATGACAAAATCAATCATTCAATGAAATATGTATCTCGGAAACTCTGATTAAGATTATTTGAAGGAATAAAAAATCAATTGGATTTCACAAGGTGCCCAGCAAAAGCTGCTGAATGTGTAAATTTCCTAATAGGAGCACTTACTTTCGCTGATTGAAGTTTGTGAAGAATGTCGACAAATCAATGAGCAAATAGAGAGAGGTGAGCAACTGCAACGACGATCCCTCTAAAGTCATCCGTTTATAGATACTCGCCAACCAGACGGCTATTCGACGTGGTTCGTCAATGTCACGATATCCCTTCAGCGCATTCGTCAAACACAAACACATCACTCGTAATGCGTCATTGTATCGCTGAAAACAAATTTCGATACTTCCTTTAACCAACAATTTAGACTCGTCAACGTATTCAATTAGTTTTTTGAAACAGAACAACTGAATTCAATTCAATTCAATTCAATTCACTACAACGACAAAACTCATCACAAATCAAACATATAACTTGTATAATATTTCCATTCGAAACTGATCCAAACTCATGATCAGTAATCCATACTTGGAAAAAGGAACAAATGAAAGCAATAAAATGTAATGAATGTATAATATTTGACTATCAACAACTCCATTTACATAACACGATTACTTTCAACCATACAAGCTTCGGCATGATACCTTCAGATTGCAAATATTCAAATAAATCAATCTCATTCAATATGCCTAATCACCGTAATCAATGCTTAAAACCACCCTTCATGCCGAGGAGTCAATTGTAAAAAACGAAACGATTACTCTCTTACCTCAGCAGCATGATACAAGCGTACCGCTTTGTAGGGTTCGGCTGACAACTCGACGTCAGTGGCCACCTTGGCAATAACGTCGGTGATATTGATATCATTGCTATATTTATCGATGAAACCCGGATGTCTTATGCCATACTCATCAACGCAACCGATCACTTTATCCATATCCGCACCCAAATACACCGACCTCGATACACACGCATTGAAAATGCTCTCACCTAAATCCTTTACTGACCGCGATTTCATGACAACACAACACAACAGTGCCAATGAACAATTTCTTTTGAATGCCTTAAAATTCTTCGATCTCAAATTTCGATCATCCAATTTTTCATGAAATTACTCCCTTAACAACTGCTCAAATCCACATCATCCATCCGTTCAACACCATCAACTATCATCGTTTTCTAAAACAACTTCCGATACTCATCTCAAACTGTTCGTTTTTTTCATTTTTAGAAACGATTCTCAAGTTAATTTCCATTCCACAAATCCAGACAATTGTTTTTTTCACAGCACTAATTCGTATGATCTTCCTTCCTTCCTTCCAATCAATCAAATAAAATGTGCAACATTCCAGCTGGCAATGCACTAACTGACTGACCGTTGGGTGACTGGAATTTGCGTAAACAGAAATAATAATCAATCGCTCGTTGCGCATCAACACACTCGAACGATTTCACATAGATGAGTATCAATCGCGAGAAGTCCAACGAACACTCCAATGGATCTTTCTCATTGAAAGTTACTGAAAGAACGCAAAAAGCAAATGAACGGTGACAATCGCTTCATATTGAAATGCAACGAAACAAGCATAAACCCAACAAATTTCTAACATCAAATCGATCCCAAACGATCATCAAGATATTCATTAAGATATCAACTGAAGTTCCAATAATAATTTATTTTGTAAACTACACGACTGTGCTGCTGGCGAAGTCATATCAAAAATTCTTACAGATAAAATTATTGACTCAGAAGTTCGAAATAAAGAAATACACAAAATTTACTAATGGATTTTGCTGTGGTGCCATCAGAAGGCGTCACGAGGAGATCATTGACATAGGCCATGATTGCCAGATGTACCGAATGTATTAACATATCACATCTGAAAGTGGTCGAAACCAAAATTATTTCTTCCAGTTACTATTAAATTTTCATAATACTCATTGAAATCCAAAAAGTTTTCGAAAGGCTATCTTACACAACACCGATCTCAAATGCATAAATAACTCCAGCCAAGATCAATGATTACGAATTTCTTTGTTTCTCAATTCCAAACGCCTAAGAGTTAATCAATTCCCCCAATAAAATCTTCCACCTGAACAGAAGATGAATGGCTCGTTCGAATTGCCCAGTCAACCATAAAGCTTGGAAGAATATTGTGGCATAACCACCATTACTTATGAAATATTCTTCGCCTGAAATATTATTCAGTTATTGAAAATTTTCAAATTTCGAATTCTTCCGAAATCAGTCTTTCTAGTACAAATTCATCGCCGATATTTCTAATTGTAAGATGTTCAGACTGTTCAACGCAGACTGATATTAAACGAATTCCAATAAATCATTTCACTACCTCAGCTCATCTCATTTTCTGCTTTAGAAACTTCAATTTCCATCAGACGTAAACTTAAAAATCCCTCAAACACGGATTAATCGACGGATTTAAGCGAGCCACTCAACGCGATATTTTTTAAACTCATAATCAAAAATTCCTTCACAATCAAACACAATTCAAGCGGATTCATTTCCCACCATAATCGATTGAGATTGTCCGTTGTAAAGCCGCGAATACACTCGGTGACAAGGACACACTGAAGTTGTACGGGGCCAGCTTTAGCCATAACCAATTCTCCAGGTTATCACTCACTTCGGCCACATCGCCTCCCAACAAAGCACAATAGACTGCCTTCTTGTAAATGTCAACTGTAGAGTCGAGTTCCGCACGCCATTCTCCCCTCACACGATCTCGATCCTCCACAGATATCCTACGAAACTTCCAAAATTACTTTCGTCACAGAATATCAACTGAGTGCTCGACAACTTCAACACGCATTTTCTTAATAAAATGTCGATTCATTCTTCAAAACAACGACGATCAACACAAACTTCTCGGTTTTCTGCAATGCACATAGTGCAACCGCAAGCGCAGCACACGACGGGAAATTCTGAAGTCGTGAACGTGCAATCTCAGCGCATGCCTCATAGTCACCACAACGCAAACAATTGTAGACCACTTCCCAGATCGGATGACCACTCGACCCGTAAACACCATCCTATAAATTTCCCATACCACAAATTTCATCCGAGACTTTCAGTGAACGAATTACACCTAACGACTCTAATAAAATTGCACATAATCAGCTGTCTGCCTATCTTAAGAATGAATAAATTCATGTTCGCATTCATTTCCACATGAGCGAACAATAACACAAACGCTAGTGCTTTGGCGTGAATGGTTTCTGGATTGTAAATGCGATCGCTATCGAGATGCATACGTACTTAATGCAATAAATCCTTAACAATGCGACTGAAAGACTGGTGTAGCGGGAAAGCTTATTGATGAGGATGAATGAATGTATTACGAAGAGTATAAACGGATAAAAATGAGTCAAAACCAACTTGACAAGATTGTTTCGCGGACTGCTGGAAATGTTTCACGTTCAAATAGCCGTCTACCAGCGCCAAAGTCCCCGGAATTCCACCAACGCGAGCAACTGCCAAATTACGATTCACTACCTCGCGCATATGTGTCATATAGCTTAAGACCGAAACCATATTGTTCATATTCATCACATCATCAACGAATTCAATTGATACAAATGATATTAAGCCATATAATATGATTTTATATTTTGTATATAATATATAATCACTTTCATACAATTTTCATATAGTTGCATCGTTTCACACAATTCCATATGAATCAATCATTCATTTAAACCAAACTTTCATATAATCACTCATACAACTGAAACGTTATCGAAATATAATTTCCATACTGTTTTTGCAGATATTCCAGCGATCCTTTCACCAGACGTTGTGTCCATTCAGTGGACGTTCTTATCGCCAAGGGTTGAGGTGATTTCGAGCTGGAGTTATTAGCCAGGGTCGGTGCCGGTAAACTCAGCAGAGCGATTGCTTGCTCCCAAAGAGCACAAATGCGATCGTCACGACTTCTGGCCGCAGCTTCTTTGAAACCTTTCGCCAAAGAATCACTCTTCTTATCGATCGCATAATCAGACAACTATAACTAAGTGAAATTCATTCTAGGTTATTTGACAGCAATGTGTGGTGTCAAAAATAAAGAACAGATGTTTGAAGTTATCATCATGTTGATGAATTGTATGAATGAGCATCGTAAGATTGCACTTCAGTTAACGCAGTTTTTGCATGAGAACAAAGCAATGCATTATGGCACACTGAGAGAAGATTACAAAGTGAATGAATACAAGTTATGGACAAAGTGTATTCAACCGATGCTATGTGGAGAATCAGAAGATCCCGACTGAGTATGTGAATAAACTTACAATCAGAATTCTAAATGAACTCGTTCAACAATCGAATGTGATTTGAACAGAGATTCAGTCGAATGTGATTCGTATAGAGATTCAGTGATTCAGTCGAATGTGATCTGAATAGAACCTAATGATAGGGTGCTGCGGAAAGATTTTAGATGGAATTCCATCGAATTCAATCAGTCACTTACCGCTTTAGCGAAGGCCAGCTCAACGGCACTTGCTGAGGTTGGTGCCAGACGTGAAATGCCTCCAGCTGGTTTCTTCTGAAACTTTTCTTTCTTTTTTTTTNTTTTTTTTTGAGAAAACTTCAACGGTCATTCTCAGAAGTTGATGCTGTTCTGATTACTTTATTAGTATCATTTTTGTGATGGTCGATTTGCAAGCACAGTATTTGGATGATGAATGGTAACGGTATAAACTGAACAATACGCGATGCAAATAACCACCATTAAAAAAATCGATGAAATAATTAAGAACTATCTAAAAAACTCACAAATGGCGGTGTACCATCCGTCATGGTCCGATCAGATGCTAGTGGTTTCTTTGTATTCAGAAGTGCGTCTTCGATACTGCATCGATTCAGAAACGCATTCTCAGCATCACGCATCACGATCGTTTCTGTTTCACGAATCATCTCTGGCAGTGAATCTTCAATCGACTCTAAAGGCACTATCTTTGTGACCATCGTCTCATCGGTTGACTTATCCTCGGATATCGCCGTCGACTTACGCGATGAGCACGACGGCTGGACGGCATCTAACCAGAAGCTTTGTTGACCAAGCAGCAGGTCTGACTGAAGAATTCACGACAATTCTCCTAACCGATAAAAGTATACAAATGGTTGATACACTAAACATAATCAAAAATTACCACCGTCACTATCCAAAGTAAAATCATCACAAGTGGCGATGAAATGGCTCGAATAAAAACAAGTTTTGTTGAAGGGATCAATCAAAAACATTTAAAGCAGTAATACTGACCTGTAGCCTCTCACCGACAACATCAGCTGGACGTTTCTTTTTCCACAGAGATTCACTGCGACGAAAAATCTCATCGATACAAGCTTGAGCACTCAGCTCGGTACCAATGAACTGAAACATTGCATCAAATGAACACACATCTGAATGAATGGTACGCAATTGCACCACAAATGAAAGAAAAACTGACAATGAATCTGCAAAAATTTTCGCCTTCAGTGCGTCAAAAGCAGATGATGCGGTCGACCAATGCAAAATCCAACAGAAAATTTTTCAAATGAATGAAAATGTTGAGCTGATGAAAAATTTTAATTGTAATAAATGTGCACATATGCTGGAAATAAGCACTAACTGAGCGATCCACCGGGCGTTCGGCGCTGATTACTGTCGACGATAGACGATCGGCCCGGTGCAGTATATCCTCAAACGTTCCGGACATTTCGGCTTAAAACAACCCAGCGAAACAGCAAACCTCAGCGCTCAAATATCTTTAGCTTGAGAAAGCACAGCGCTTTTCGAATGCTAAAAAAATCGGTTATTGGCTCACAACGGCCTGTGACGAAGTGTTCGCCAAAAGCGTGCACTCACTCTCTAGCGATTCATTACAGAAATGCAACTGAGTGTTGCCTCTTGCCTACGATTAATCGAAGATTACCAACAACACTTGGAAATTGCTGGTAATCTTGGACTGTAGACTGGAGTTCCTGAAAAATCCCGAGATGCCGGGTTTTGAATCCCGGTCCCGGTCTCGATCCCGAAAATCAGGATCTGAGAAATCCCGGCCGTCGGGATTTGATAAATTTCGC